TATTTCTATAGTCACAATGGAATACTATTCAGCCTTAACACAGAATTGTGAGGAATGTAGGAATATATGTTTTTGTATTCACAATGGAATATTATTCAGCCTTAAAATAGAAAAAAATTGTTGCATTTGTGATGACATGGATGAAACTGGACGACATTATGCTAAGTGAAATAAGCAGAGCACCGAAAGATAAATACTGCATGATGTCATTCATGTGTGGATCCTTAAAAAGTTGAACTCTGCTTAGGAACTGATTCATTAAAAAGAAAGAAGAAAGAAAGAAGAGAGAGAGAGAGCAGAGAGAGAGAGGAGAGAGAGAAAAAGAAAGAAAATAAGAAAGAAAGAAAGAAAGAAAAGAAAAGAAAAAAAGAAGGAAGGAAAGAGGGAGGGAGGGAAGGAAGGAAGGAAAGAAAGAGAGAAAGAAGAAAGAAAAGAAAGAAAAAGAAAGGAGAAAGAAGAAAGAAAGAGAAAGAAAGAAAGAAAATAGAGAGAAAAGGAAAAAAGAAAAAATGTTGAACTCATAGAAGCAAAGAATAGAATGGTGGTTACCCAGGGCTGGGTGTGGGGGAAGAATTAGGCAGATGTTGGAGAAATTATGAGGAGAATTAGGCAGATGTTAGCCTTAAACTCCTGGACTCCAGCAATACTCCAGCCTTGGCCTCCCAAAGTGCTGGGATGACAGTCATGAACCACCGTTTCCAACCACGAATAGACTTTTCAACAAATGGTGGGGAGGCAACTGGATATTCATGTACAAATAAATTAATTTGGGTCCCTGCCTAACACCATACAAAAATTAACTGAAAACAGATCACAGACTTAAATGTAAAACTAAAACAATAAAGCTCTTAGAAGAAAACGTGAGAGTAAATTCTTATGATCTTGTGTAAGGCACTGATGTCTTAGATACAACATCAAAAGCACAGTTGAAGACCAGTCAAGGCTGCCTAATGAGACCTGGAAAAGGAGGAAAGGGAAAAAGCAAGAAAATAAAAAATTGAACATCAGCTGAATTTAAAACTTTGGCACATCAAAAGATACAATCAAGAAAGGGGAAGACAGCCGGCAGAATGGGAGAAAATATTTATAAATCATATGTCTAATAACTGATATATCCAGAAGAACTCTTACAACTCAAAAGACAATCCAATTAAAAATGGGAAAAGAACATGAAGAAACATTTCTCCAAAGATAATATTTTAATGTCCAATAAGCACATTAAAAAGTGTTCAACATCGTTAGTCACTAGGAAAATGCAAATTAATCTATAATGAGATGTCCCTTTCCACCCACTAGAATAACTACAACCAAGCAGACACATAACACCAAGTGCTGGAGAGGATGTGGAGAACAGAACCCTCATACACTGCCAGTGGGAATATAAAATGGTACAGCCACTTTTTTGGAAGATAATATGACAGTTTCTCAAAATGTTAAAAGTAAAATTGCTTTCTCTAGCAGAACTGCAAGGGGCTCAAGACAAAAATAATAATATAAAATAAAGTCAAATTGCCTTAAAGTCAGCAACTTTACTTCTAGGTATCGAACCAGGAAAAATGAAAATGTATGTTCACACAAAGACTTGTAGGTGAATGTTCACAACAACACCACTCACAAGAACCAAAAAGTGGAGACAAGCCAAATGCCCATCAACTGATGAAGGAATTCAAATGTGGGGAATACGAAGGAATACTATTCAGCAATCAAAAATGAGTTCTGAGGCATGCTACCACAGTGGTCAACCTCAACAACACAATGCTTCGTGAAAGAAGCCAGATGTAGAAGAACACACATCGCATGATTTCGTTTATATGAAAGGTCCAGAACAGCCTAATATAGAGATAGAAAGCAGCTGCTTACTGGTTGACTAGGGCTGGGAATGAGACTGAAAAGTGACTCTGATGGCCACAAGCTTCTTTCTGGGATGATGAAATGCTCTTAAACTAGATTTTGGTGATATATAATTCTGTAAATATACTAAAAATCATTGAACTGGACCAAGCACAGTGGCTGAAATCTGTAATCCCCACACTTTGGGAGGCCATGACAAGAAGATCACTTGAGCCCAGGAGTTCAAGAACAGCCTGGGAAACATAAAGAGACTCCATCTCTACAAATAATTTAAACACTTAAACAGGTGTGGTGGCACAAGCCTATAGTCTCAGGTACTCAGGAAGCTGAGGCAGGAGGATCACTTGATCCTAAGAGGTTGAGGCTGCCATGAGCCATGATGGCACCACTGCACTCCAGCCTTGGTATCAGAGTAATAACCCTGTCTCTCTCTCTCTCTCTCTCTCTCTCTCTCTCTCTCTCTCTCTCACATATACACACACATTGTACACTTAAAATGGGTATATGTAAATTACACCTCTATAAAGCTGTTAATCTTTTAATTATTTTTAATTTTTGTTTTTGTTTTTGTTTGAGACTGTTTTGCTGTTTTTGCCCAGGCTGGAGTGCAATGACACAATCTCAGCTCACCACAACCTCCTCCTCCCAGGTTCAAGCGATTCTCCTGCCTCAGCCTCCCAAGCTCCTGCCATGATGCCTGGATAATTTTTTGTATTTTTAGTACAGATGGGGTTTCACAATGTTGTCCAGGCTGGTCTAAAAGTCATGACCTCAGGTGATCCACCCGTCTTGGCCTCCCAAAGTGCTGGGATTACAGGCATGAGCCAGGCAGTTTTTTAAGTTTTAAAATTATACTATTTACCCCTGGCACCAAGATTGTAGTCTCAAAATACCATTGCCCAATGAAAGAAAACAAGCCTTCCTGGAGAAAGTGCTGATTTCAGGTCTAGACCAGAAATGTGTAAGGAGCCTGGAACATATTGTCACTCTGGATAGCAAAGAATCCATCAGAGATTATTAGGATGATTTCAACATGTCTGAAGGGCCAATCTGAAGGGACTCATTCTAACCAAAGATAGGACATTTGTACATTAATAAGGATAATAGTTGCAGTGAATTGAGATATATCAGATATGTTTGAATGTCTGCATTCATAATGATCCTTTCAAAAAAATAAAAGTGGGCTGGCACAGTTCCTTATGCCTGTAATTTCAACACTCTGGGAGGCTGAGTTAGGAGGATCACTTCATCCAGGATTTCAAGACCAGCCTGTGCAACACAGGGGGACTTTGTCTCTACAAAACATTTTTTAAATTACTCAGGTATGAGGGCCCATGTCTTTGGTCCCAGCTACTCAGGAAGCTGAGGTGGGAAGGTCACTTGAGCCTAGAAGTTTGAGGCTATAGTGGCATGACTCTGCATACCAGCCTGGGCAACAGAGCTAGACCCTCCCTGTCTAAATAAATTAATTAATAGAAGTGGTCACCATTGAAGGATATAAATGAAACAGCCCATCATTTTGAAAAATGGTAAACAGAAGAAATCAAGCCACGAACTGGCGTTTTCTATATAAATTGTACAAGTGAGTAACACAGTTTATTTACATTATTTTTTTCATCATGCAAGGCCCTTCTTAGGGTAGCAGTATCTCTTTCTGGAAGTATGGCAGCTCATAAATGAAGAAGGAATGGCACAACAATACCTTCATTGTTCAATCCATAATTGATCAATGGCCATTAACATCACTAATTAAAACAAAAAAGATGTCCAGAGAGTACACACCTCCTCCCAGAAGAAACTAGCACAGTCTTTTTGCCCTGACCCTCAAGTCCAACCTGAATCTGACCAAGTCTTGAGATCAAACTACTAATTTATAAAAACTAGAACAAAGTGAAGAGCAAGTTAACCAATATCACAAGATACAATTAGAAAAATTCACATTATGGGAAACAGCATAATGAGAATACACTTAGCATAATCCAAACTATGGGGAAACGGCCTGATTTATTCAATAAATGAATTGCAAGGGATAACACAGAGATCAAAGTGGGAAGCTGTCAGGATCAAAAAAAACCTAAGAGGTGAATCAAACAATCCCAAAGAGAGACTTTATTTGGATCCAGATTCAAACCATAAATACATGAAATGACTGGAAATGTGGAGCTAGCAGGAGAGTTGACAGTGATAAAGAGCAATGGTGTGAGATGGTTGGTTGATGATGGTATTGGGATTATATTTTTTAAAGAGTTCTTGTCTCTGGGCACAGTGGTTCACACCTATAATCTCAGTAGTGTGGGAGGTCAAGGTGGGAAGATCCTTTGAATCCAGGAATTCTAGACCAGCCTGGGCAACATGGCAAGAACCTGTCTCTACTAAAATACAAATTAAAAAATTAGCTGGACATGGTGGTGTGAGTCAGTAGTTGCAGTTACTCAGAAAGCTGAGGCAGGAGAGGCCACAGTGAACCAAGATCATGCCACTGAACTCCAACCTTAGTGACAGAGACCTTGTCTTGAAAGAACAAACAAGAATCGTATCTTTTACAGACATATACCAAGACAGTCAGGGAGGAAGTTATATGATGTGTGGGATTTGCCATAAAATCATGAGAGGAAGAGGAGAAGCATGTAGGAGTGTACATGTAATGAGATTGGCCATGAGATAACAAATATCTGAATCTCAAGTAGGTGAAAACTCACTACACTAGCCTCTTGTTCAAAAAGCTCTCGAATAGAAAGTTTGTCTAAAAATCCACTTCATGGATTTGTAACAAGCATTGAATAAGATCATGTATACAGAGTGCTTTATCACCACGGCTTGCAGGTAGGCAGCACACATTGTTTTTAGTTTAGTATAGTCCCTGTCCATTAATCACACCCAAAAAAAAGGTATGTTGTTCACACCAAGAGCTCTGGCCCGTGGACCTTTGTCCACTTGGTGGTAATTTATTGGAATTTGAGATTTAGAATGAGGAAATGCCAGCCTTCAAAGCCCCAGGCCTACTATGAAATAGCAAAGCCAACAGTCCCAGGTGCCTTCGTAGCACACCTAATAAGTAGAACCACTTTTCTCTCACCTTGTAGGCACATTTGAGTTCATTCACTCACTAATTTTCATTCATTTCTTATATGCCATGTATTGGGTGCTAGGGACCCATAATACAGTGGATCCATAATTGACTGGAAGCACCACATTCAAAGCATCATTTCAGGATGAGTATTTCATGTCAAGTGGATTCAAGGAACAGTGCGAAGGATCCATGGCCTCAGTCACCATGAAGACCCTCCCAAGAGCCAGCCCTACTGGGCACATATAAATGAGTGGAGACATGGAACTCACCCTTACAAGGTCTAGAACCTGACAGAGCACACAAGACAGAAGCCCAAATAACCAGAAACAGGAAGCTGAAGGTGAGAGATGGGCCCCAAAGGATTCTGGGAAAATGCTTTGTGTTTGTGGATTTATCACGCAGAATGAAACCTTTGTTTTTATTCACAGGTTAGACACACTCTCTATATAGAATCTATGAAGGGACATTTCAGAGCCCTTTGAGGCCTATAGTGAAAAGTGGAATATCTCAGGCAGCCCAGGATGAATAATGCAGTCACCAAGAGGGGCAGGGTGGCCACAGGTGGCCAGCAGCAGGGATGGGCATTGTGAGCCATTGGATGGGGTTGTGGGACATGGCATTGTGAGCCACTGGCCTGACTTTGTTGTTTCCTGGTAACGAAGTGACATAGGAGGCTTTGTGGGTGACAGGCATCAGCCAGGGCCAGCAGCCTTCAGTCAGAAGCTGGTAGTGGGAAGAGGAGGAGCTCCGACTACCCTCACGGAAGCGTTTGTGCCCTTGGTGCTTGCTCTGTTGCTTTGTTTTTTTCTTTTTTGTTGGTCCTTTTTTTTTATTATTATTTTTTGCGTTGCTTTGTTTCGTTTCTTTTTTGTTGTTGCTTTGTGTGTGTGTGTGTGTGTGTGTGTGTGTGTGTGTGTGTGTGTTGCTTTGTTTTGAAGGTCCGATTCTAGATCACCCATGGGAAATACATTAAGTTGCTGCCTAGGCCCCAGGGCTGGCCTCAGTTGTACCTGGTGCAAGCAGGAGGTGGCGCCTTGTTGTGAATTCGAGACTCAGTCTGTGGCAGCTGCAGCACCAACATCCACCACTGCAGAGCCTGTCACCAACACAAAGAGGCACAAAGGTAAAGAAGCCACGGGTGCCATTTGCTCTGTGGCACATCTCTGGCCACCACCTCCCCCACCTCCTTCCCATCCCCTCATCCCAGAGACATCCTCAGCTTCCAGCTCCCTCCTGCCTATAGCCAGCTTTCCCAGGGCTGGGCATGGGGGACAAAGGCTAGTCCTGCCTCTTGTCGTTGTTGTTGAGCCTTCTTGCTTGAGGCCTTTTTGGTCTAGTCTCTCCCTTTCCTCAATGAAAATTCAAATACTCCAGTTTTGGAGTCCTCATCCCATTCTCTAGCCTGACCTATCCAGCTAGTATGGTACCTCAGTGAAGGAGCTGGTTAAAGGCCTAATTGTTTCTTTTCTCCTTTTCAATAAGGAAGCTAATAATTGGGATAATTCAGACTCAAATATTTGGAGACTTCTTAAATTTAAAATAGAGTTTGCCATGAAAGAGATTATATGGCGTTCTTAATAGATGGTTTTAAGTCACCTTGACAGAAGCAGCTTTATTTCTTCCAATTGTAATTTGAAAACTGAAGGAAAAATTGTGGGGCATGCTTAAAATGACTGCAAAAGGTATGAAATGTTACTGCCAGAGCTGTAAAAGAAGTTGTTTTTGTTTTGGTTTTACCCAAAAGTTTATCCGTGGAGCTCTGATTCCTTTAAAATTCCCACTTTGACATGAATGTCTCTTCAGCCCTACTCCAGTAACTTCACAGGCTTTGTTTACCTCCTTGTTCTGAGAGACAGGTAGAGCTAGCTCATGGTTACAGGATTCAAAAGAGATGAAATGACTTTAGACTTGAATTTGTAAGGTAAAGACTTGAGAGTTAGAAGGCCAGACCCTGCCTGTGGAAAAGAGTTTGTTTTCATGGCTCCTCTTCCTACAGGATGGGAAAGGGGAGGAGAGAGGAAATATTTCATTTTTTTTTTTTTGCTATGGTCAAATTGAAGACAAAAACTAACACTTGTAAGACAGGAGAGGAGCATTTAGTTACAAAATTAGTCAAACATTATATATCACTACATTTGTTGAGTAAAGGAAAGCTACCAGACTCAGAAAACCAGAGATGCTAATGGAACTGACATTAGTAACCAGGGTTTTCTGCTGAGTTCAGCGCCCAGGGTGACTTCCAATAACAACCACCCTCCCCTCCACACGCACACTTTCCTCAGGACTGGAAAGCTGAGGCAGCCCAGAATGAATAATGCAGTCACACATTGGGGCAGGTGACCACAAGGTGGGCAGCAGCAGGGATGGGCATTGTGAGCCATTGGGTGGGGCTGTGGGGCGTGGCATTGTGAGCCACTATCCTGACTTGGTTGTTTCCTGGTAACCGGGTGACATAGGCTTTTTGGGTGATAGGCATCAACCAGGGCTAGCAGCCATCAGTCTAAAATCCTTTAGGATTTTAGAAATAGATGAATCTAGCTACAGATAATTCTGGGTAACCAGTTCCTTGAACAAAAACTAAGTCCACTGAAATAGAAAACATTATATCATAAAGACATAGAAATATAATCAGCTCATTTCTTTCATTTTAATGGTAGAGGTTTTATCAGTATGAAGAAAATGTCTTACAGCTCTTATATTTAAACTTCAGTTTGGCTTTTACTTTCTTTCACAGAATAATTAAGCCTCACAATGGGTGTGCCTTTGTAACAAGGAAGTGCCGTACTCCCTTTTCAGAATATTGAAAAATTGTGAAAGAATGAACAAATAATTATGAGACTTAATAGACTGTACCTTATACACAAAGCATGCAAGTACCTGTGGAAACTCCTTGCTTGGTGGTGTACGGCAAGCCTCTGTGTCATATTCTGTACGATTTGGTAGATGAGGTAGTGAGAGAACAAAGTGAGCCTTTTCGTTATTTTTTAGGATGTAAAACATGTTTTAATGTACATCTTATCGGAACCTTCCAAATACAATAAGGCCTGTGTATATTCTCCCTATGTTGCTGATGCAGAAAGGAAGGCTTAGAGATCTGAAGGGACTGTGTGAGACAGCTACTGAACAGAACTGAGGTTCTAAGTCATCAAAGTAGACATGGAGGTTGTAGTGATGCCAAACTCAGTTCTTAAAGAACTTGACAAACTCCAAAATGTCTTATATTATAAGGTCTACCCATAACATAGACCTCTCTTGGAACTTACTTTCATCTTGATTAGTTCCTTTTGCATTTTATTTTACACAACTCACAGGCGACATTTACCTCTCCATTTTTCGTCCTAAAGAGATGGGTCCTCACTGTGTGGCACAGGCTGGCTTCTGACTCCTGGCCTGGGCTTAAGCACTTCTGCTGCCTCAGCCTATAGAAGAGCTGACAATACAGGCATGTGCTTTCTCTCCTGGCTCTGCCTTCTGTCTATACATTTATTGAAATGGATAAGGATAAAAATAGGGGTAACAAAATGGCTTAAATTTACAAGTCAAATCAACAGTTTAATAAATGTTGAAGAGTTTCTTCTGCTAACTGATTTGAAGCTGAGAATGCCCTGGTCAGGAGAAGCTGGCCGGAGGGCAGGTAAGGCCCCACACATTAAGCACAGGATACAAATAAGAAGTGTTAAGTCAGAGCAGTTAAAGAAAAAATAGTTTGTGAGCACAGAATTTACCATTTTATGTGTATGTGCATGACAGTAGGTTTCTATATGTCTCTTCAAATGTATTTTTGTGGTATTCGATAAAGGGATAACAGAAACCTCAATTTCAGTGTTTATTCTTTGGCCAGGCGTGGTGGCCCATGCCTGTAATCCCAGCATTTTGAGAGGCCGGGGTGGGTGGATTGCCTGAGGTCAGGAGTTCGGGACCAGCCTGGCCAACATGATGAAACCCCATCTCTACTAAATATACAAAAAATTAGCCAGGCGTGGTGACACGTACCTGTTCAGAACACTCAATATAAAGTATAGACACATTCAAAGTTTGTTGTTAATATCTTTATTTCAGAAAATTGTGTATTACTTTTCTTGGAAAGTGATAAATTCCTACTTAGATGTGAAACATTTTAGCCTTTCTGTAATGAGGAATTGAATTCTTTTGGTGACTTACACAAATATCACAGCAACCAGTGCTCCAACCATTCTGTGACACACGAAACAGTCATTTAAAGTCATCAGGTAGAGCAGGGCACACTGCTGTGGAAAGACATCCTGGAGTGCTCTCTAGGTGGCAAGTCCTGTTTCGGGAACTCATGCCATAAATGATGCTCTGCTTCGTTGTTCTCTTCTGAAATATTTCAAAAGAACATTGTGCCTTGAAGCCATTTCAAAGAGACGTTCTAAGAACCCACTTTAGATCTCAGACAGAGTCAAAACATATTTCATCCTATCTTGCCTTCATTTAGCAGTGTATCTAATATGACTGGTGGTAATATAAGTAATGCAGACTAAGATAGTAGGAGCTCATATCCAATTTTATCACTACCTATCAACTTTTCATGCAGCCTTTTGTGTTCTTACCTTAGGAACACTGCTAATTTGCTGGCTCTCTCAAGTGAGGGGTCAGGGAAGGGAAAGAATGGGCATATGATGTAGAGACCTCTGAGCAGCAGGTCTTTCCATTTTCTAGTAGCTATTTTCAACCCTCCTTTTAAAGTAACTATTAGTATGTTTCATGTAAAAGATGTAGAAAATAAAGAAAAAATTTTTATTGTACTCAGAATACCCAGAGCTTGTGTTACTATTTGAGTACTGGTTCTTTTGGAAATTTTTGGTATGCATTTGAATATAATATTTTATTTCACAAACTTTTTTGTGAAAAGTTTTATTTTAAAAACTTTTTGATCATTTTATATGTGCTGCCTTGTAACTTTTACTTCAAGCAGGAAATAATGGCATAAGTTTCTCAAACAGTACTTGACACCTAGAGAGCACTCCAGGATGTCTTTACATGCCAGGGCACCCTGCTGTACCTGATGACTTTGAATAACTGCTTAGTGTACTACGGACTAGTTAGAGCATTACTTATTTACCTACCCTTTGCGATTGGCTGTCTTTTTTCATAAGGTCAGACACAATCCTGTTATGTTTGATTCTAAGAACACACATAAAGCACATGTTGATGACAGATGCGTGATATCTCATTATAAAATTCAGATACTATATTTTGTTAGTGACATAATTAAACCGATGAAATGAGTCATTTTGTATTTAAGGTATTTTAGTATTAACTATACTTGTGTAAAACTGCAGTTACCATTGATTTTTAAATACACATTAACATTCTTCATTTATGTTTTTGTGGATCTTGATAGCTTATGTCTTTAATTCTAAATAGCTATGAGTTTAAAAAATCTGATGCTGTCTTAGATGATAAATCAAAAGACAACTTTAGCAGATCGGGGCGAATTGGGAGAAACTTAACTAGTTTGGGGTAAAATGAAATATATTTCTTGAGCACTTTTAAATGGCCTGGCAGTGTTGCAGATGCAGGGCAAACAGTGGAACACAACATAGAGCCCCATTCTAAGTCTGACCCTTACATCCGATAGGGAGGTAAGGGCAGATAGCACATGAATAGTCAAGAATGGCAGGTGGTGACGTGCTGGGAAGAAAGTAAAACAGGGTGATGGATTAAAGAGGAGGGCAGCTTTATGGAGGGTTGGGGGTAAGAGCTGGATGTTCTCTTTAAGTGACATGTGAACAGTCTTAAAAGTGAAATGGGCTGGGCGTAGTGGCTCCCACCTTTAATCCCAGCACTTTGGAAAGCCAGGATGAGGGGATTCCTTGAGGCTGGAAGTTTAAGACCAGCCTGGCCAACACAGAGACACCCCATCTTGTTTATTTTTAAAAATAAAAAAGTGAAGGGAACCTTGTGAGGATGATGGGAGAGGGCTTCCAGAGAGGGATATCTGCTTTGGAATTCCTGAAATAGAAACAAAGTTGTTTTAGGCAAAGGACAGAAAAACAGAAGGGTGGCTGCAGCAGAGTGAAAGGATTCTGGGATGAATAAGGTGGGTGAAGGCCTTGTACACGTAATGAGCACTCATAGAGAAGATAGACTTCAGCTGAGATGGAAAACCACTGGAGGATTATAGCCCAGGGGTTACTGTTAATTCTCTAAGAAAAAGACTGAGCAGCGGCTCTGTACGAATATACTGTAATACAGGCAAGGGTGGAAGCAGGAAGAGCAGCTAGGAGGCTGGTGGAGTAGTTCAGGTGAGAGCCAACAGTGAAGAGAAAAACAATAATGAACTGAAAGAGGCTGACTTGAGAAAATCAAGTGAATCTCAAAGTAGATAATAAAGTGATAAATAGACAAGTCACAGAAAAAGAAATGCCGGTGATTTTTAAACACACCTTCACTCATAAGAGAGAGGGAAATGACAGCTATACTGCAGTGTTTCTCCTATTGAGGGAAATTCCAAAAACATGCAAAACGTTCTTTGGTTTGGCTGTAAGGAAAGTTGCATTCATATATTGCTGGTGGAAATGCAAAAAGGCTCAACTCCATGAAGGGGAATTTGGCACAATCTCACAACCTTGCAAATGCATTTAAACCAGACATCCAACTTTGAGGAATTTTATCCTGAAGGTATACTCCATAAATGTAAAACAAACTATGGGCAAAGTTCCTGTTGCATTATTTTCAATAGTTAAATATTGGAGTTAACTGACATGCCTAGTAAAGGACTGGTAAAATAAGCTGGTACTTCTACATAAAGGAGAAGCATGAAGCTGTAAAAAAGAGTAAGATGTCTTTTTATTGATATGGAGTGATTCCCAAGATAGGGTATGCAGAAAAGCAAAAAGAACATGAAATAATATACATGAAAGAAAGCAGGGGAAATAATGTGTATTTCATTATTTAAAAATAAAAGCCAACATTGGTGAAGTCTTGATGATGACCTGTGACAGTTTTCTCCTTAACTTCACTGGGTAGCCAAAGTGCATATTTTCTCAAAATGTTATTTTACTATGGGTTCTGCAGA